AAAAGAAGGAATTAAGGAAGTCAGTGAATGGTACAAAGGAGAAGTTCAATAAGGACTTAGAGATACTGAAAATTTAAAAAACCAGAAATCTTGGAAATGAAGAAACAATAAGTCAAAGAAAATCTTCAGTTGTAAGTCTCTGTAGTACAGTTGGCCAATCTGAAAGCAGAATCTCAGAGCTTGAGAGCAAAGTGGGAGGCCTTGAACATTCAGACAATATTACAGAGAAAAAGTAATGTGACCAGAATACATAAATTCTGGGACAACATTGAGAGGCAAATTTATGAATCCTTGGAATTGAAGAGGGTGTGACAGGCAGGCTAATAGCATGGAAAACCTCTTCAGGAAAATAATAGAAAACTTTCCAAACCTTGAGAATGAGAAGGACATTCAATACAGGAGGCATTGAGAACCCCCAAACAGACAACATCAAGCCAAAAAAAGGAACATGTAATAATTAAAATGCTTAACATAGAAAGCAAGGACAAAATGTTAATAGCCTCTGGGAAAAATGTCAGGTCACATTTAAAAGCAAGTCAATCAGAATTGCATCTGATTTCTCAACAGATACTAAAATCCAGGAGGGCTGTGAATGATGTGCTCCAAGCTCTGGAAGAAAATCACTGTCAGCCAAGATGGCTATATACAGCAAAGCTCTCCTTCAGAATCTAAGTGGGAATAAAAACATTCCAAGATAAGCAAAAACAAAAAGAATTCATGAGTCCTCTGCTGGGAGTATAGGAAATACTTAAGCCAATAATTCACACAGAAGAAATAAAAACCAACCCCAGAGTTTATAAATGGATAAGTCTCATTTGAGGAGTTGCCAAGCAAATGAGAAACAGGACAAATTAAACATTAGAAATAAATCAAAATGGCAGGAATTAATAGACATCTCTCTGTAATAACATCAAATGTAAATGGTCTCACCTTGCCAATTAAAAAACATAGGCTGGCAGAATGGATTTAAAAACAAGACCCAACTACATGTTGTTGTAAGAGAATTACCATACAGACAAAGACAGCCACAGGCTGTAAGCGAAAGGATGGAAAAGAATATACCATGCCAAGGGAACTACCCACTAAAAGCATGAGTTTTTACTCTCACACCCAAAACATAGACCTCAAGCCAAAATTAATCATAAGAGATAAAGGTCACTTCATAATGGTAAAAAGATCAATCCAACAAGAAAAATTAACTACAATAAATATTTAGAAATTAAAAGATTGTGCCCCTAATTATATAAAATAGTCATTACACACGACTCAGACCCTAGTACAGTAATCATCTCTCTCACCGTAGATAGGTCATCCAAATCTAAATTCAGTAAACATTCATTGAACCAAATATATATAACTTAAGTCTGATTTAAATCAAAGGGACTTAACAGACTTCTATTTCATCCAACTATAGTCAAATACACCTTCTTCTCAGCCGTTCATGCACATTTCCCACAAAAAGATCATATATTAGGCCACAAAGCAACCCATACCAAATTAAAAAGTCAGAATCTTATTTGATCATATTGGAATGAAATTAGAAATCAACACCAAAAAACGTCTTCAGAATCTATTAAACATGTGGAGATTGACCAATATACTTTTGAATGATTAATGAGTACTAGAAGAAATCGGGAAAAATTTAAAAATTCTTAGAGACAAAGAACAAAAGTATTACAACATACCAGAACCTCTGCAACAATATGAACACAATTCTAAGAGAAAAGTTTACAACTATGAGTGCTATATTAGAAAATCAGAAAGATCCAAGATAAACAAAGGGTACATCTCAAGACCCTTGAAAACACAAGAACAAACCAATTCCAAAACCAGTAGAAGGGAATAAGTAATTAAGATCAGAGGGGAAATTAGTGAGATAGAACAGAACAACAGTAAAAAAGGATCAATAACAAGAATTAGTTCTTTGAAAAGATACACGAGATTGGGAAGCCCTTAGACAAATAATCAAAAGAAAAAAAGAAAAGATGAAAATTAATCAAACTAGAAACAAAAAAGGGGAAATCACTACAGATATCATAGAAATCCAGAGGATTATTAGGGACAGTTTTGAAAAACTTATAATAGAAAAAATTGATAATTTCTTTTTTTTTTTTTTTTTTTGGTGGTGGTGGTGTTGGGGATTGAACCCAGGGCCGTGTGCATAGGAGACAAGCACTCTACCAGCTGAGCTATGTCCCCAGCACAATATGGATACATTTCTAGACATATAAGACTTTCCAAAATCACACCAAGAAGACAAAGAAAACTTACACTGACCAATAACTAGCAAGAGATAGAAGCATTAATAAAAAGCCATCTTTTATGGTTTAGATAAGAGGTGTCCCCAAAAGCTCATGTGTGAGAAAATTCAAGGAATTTCAGAGATGAAGTAAGTAGATTATAGAGATATGACATAAACAGTGGATTAATCCAGAGGAAGCTGTAGCCAGACAGGGTGTGGATGGAGGGTATAGGTCTCTGGGGATGTACCTTTTGGTCTTACATTTTATCCCTGGTTCATGAATCAATCTCTCTCTCTCTCTCTCTCTCTCTCTCTCCCTCCCTCCCTCCCTCCTTCTGGTCGCTATGTGCTGAGCTGTTTTCCTCTTCCATGCCATTTCACCATAATGTTCTGCCTGACCTAGGGCCCAGAACAATGGAGTGGGCCATCTATGGACTGAGATCTCTAAAATCATGAGTAGCAAATAAACATTTCCTCTTCTAAAATTGTTCTTGTAAGAACTTTTGGTCACACTAACTGACTAAAAAACACCATCCAACAGAGAAAATCCCAGGAACACTATGATTCTCAGCTGAATTCTACAGATATCACAGAAATCCAGAGGATTATTAGGGACAGTTTTGAAAAACTGAATGTTAAAGAAGAATACATGCCAATGCTCCTCAAATTATTCCAAAAATAGAGTGAGAATGAACACTTCAATTCATTCTATGAGCCAGTATCACCATCAGACCAAAACCAGTATCACTATGGATCAATATCTCTGATGAACTTAGATGCAAAAATTCTTAGTAAAATATTAGCAAATTATATTCAATAATATATTAAGATGATTGTACATCATGACAAAGATGTATTGATCAAAGTGATGCAAAGATGGATTAACATTCATATATCAATACATGGAATACACCACATAAGTAGAGTTAAGGATACATAAGGATACATACTCATCTCAATAGATGCAGAGAAACCCTTCAACAAAATTTGGCACCCATTCATGATAAAGAAAATGAGGAAACTAGGTACAGAAGGAATTTACTTCAATATTATAAAGGCTATATACAACAAATCCAAAGCCAATATAATAGTGAATGGGAAAAAACTAAAAACATTTCAATGAAAATCTGGAACAAGAAGAGGATGTCTACACTCATCACTCCTATTCAATGTACTACTAGAAATTCTAGACAGAGCAAATAGGCAAGAGAAGAAAATCAAAGGTATTAAAAATAGGAAAAGAAGAAGTCAAATTATCAATGACTGCAAATGAAACAGTCCCATACTTAGAAGATCCAAAAACCTCCATCAGAAGACTGCTAGAACCAATAAACAAATTCAGCAAAGTAGCAGGTTACAAAATCAACATACAAAAATCAATAGCTTTCCTGTACAGCAATAATGAAACTCCTGAGAAAGAAATCAGAAAAACAATTCCACTCATTAGAGCCTCATAAAGTAAAATACCTAAGAATAAATCAAACCAAGAAGGTAAGAGATCTCTATGATGTAAACTATAGAACAGTGAAGAAAGAAATTGAAGAAGAAACAAGAACATGGAGAGACATCCCATGTTTTCAGATAGGCAGAATAAATATTGCTAAAATGAACATAAAACCTAAAGCAAGTCACAGATTTAATGCAATCCCCACCAAAATACCAATGATATTTTTTTCACAGAACTAGAGTGTGGGGAGCCACACTGAATGACCATGCCTTCCAGTCCTGATGCACCAGGCTCTGACCAGCCACTGCATTAGTTGTGGCTTGGGCGCCAGACCCACTTGGAGAGCAAGGAGGTCTTTGTGGGTGTGCCCCTAAGGTTGAGTTACTCTCACCTGTTCCCTTATAATCCTACCCCTTCTGCCCTTTTATGGATAGAACTTTCTAAAAACAGTGACCCCCCCCCCAATAAAAGCTGACTTCTGAACGTGTTCCCTCTCTCTCATCAACCTCTCATGACTTTCTCTTGCTCTCTCTTTTGGGGAGCCTGAGGCCGAGGAGAGCCAGGGACGCGGTCCTAAAGCTTGTGTAATGGTAAGTTGTGTCTGTGTTTTATTTTGTGTCCCTGCAAATTCATATGAATGATCTTAGTTGAGCTGCCCGCGCTGGCCAGGGACAGCATTACAGGAACAATTCTAAAATGCAATCAAAATAATAAAAGACCCAGAATATACAAAGCAATTCTAAGTCTAAAAAGCAATGCTGGGCATTACAACACCTAACTTCAAATTATGCACAGCTGCTGCTTCCAGCCTAGACACACGGGGAAGGAGGGACAGGAAGCCAAGAGGGCATATCTGCATTTCTTCCCCCCCCCCCCCCCCCCCCGCTGATCTGCAGTCTTCTCCACTGAAGAACACTCTGCTGACTCCGGGAAGAGGACAGGGCGGGGAGGGGAGGGGGGGTGGAAACTCTCCATCACTTATTATAGATGGTCCCATGAAAGGCAGACCTCCAGGGATACTTGAATATCTAAGTGCAAACCAGAAGGGAGACCCGAGGACTCTGAGGTTCCTAAAAATTTGGCACCCAAAGAGCAAGGATCAGAGGGGAAAGAGGGAAGCAGGGTGCAGCAGAAAACCAGAATGCACCCTGAAAAGCGGCATTGAAGTTTTGTAGCAAAACGACCACGCCCAGCCCCGCGCTGCTCTGCACTTCTCCAGAGCCAGCCAGGCGGGGTAGAGGCTCCCATGAAATTTGCCCGCCCACCTGGATTCGCCAAACCTTTCTGAAGACCCACAATGAGCGCACTCACCAGCTATGGTACCCAAAGATGCACAAATTGCGGCGCCAGCCAGGAGCAGCACAGCGGAGAGCTCCATGGAGTAACAGTTTGCCACTCCTCCGTTTCTCGTAAAGTGTAACTTTATTTTGGGGGGGGGGGGTTTGATCTACAAGCACTCACCCAATGAGGACAGAGGCCAAAGGTCTAACTGTAACTCACGACCAATCAAGAGGGCGAGAGGTGGGGGGCGGGGCAGGGGGCGGGGCAGGGGGCGGGCGGGGTGGAGAAGGCGAGGCAAGCAGTGCGGAAGTGGCAGCTGAGGACCTCCTAAGTCGACTGAAGAGTGAGTCACTGCCTGGCCTCTCTGGCACAGCTGCCACCTCCAGCCCAAACACGGGGAAGGAGGGACAGGAAGCCAAGAGTTCATATCTGCATTCTTTCCCCCTCTCCCCCCATCTGCAGTCTTCTCCACTGAAGAATCATGACGTGAGCAAATGCCACTTACCGACTTGGTCAAGGAAACTGCTCCTGCTGGGAGTAGTGCATGCTGTGTCTAGGTGCCCTCTGGAATGATGCTGTGTGATTGAGTTGACACGTGCAACCCTGGGACCTTCAGCCCACCTCCAGGAGCACCAGGAGGATCTGCAAGTTCCAAGGGTGCAAAGGTTGGGAATTAAGTGCTGTGAGAGGGTGCTGTGTGCTATGTGCTGGGTTATATACGTGCATACCACCACTCTCTCCTTTCAGATGCCACTGGCCACAACCCTCTAGCTTTGAATACGCACACAATACTGGTGGTAGAAGTATGTGTACAAGAATCCTTGAAAGATCTGGAGTTTCTAACACAAAACCTAGTGCTGTTTCCTTCTAGTGTTCTAGTGTCTGCAGAATCCACTTGCATGTGTCGACTTGTCGACTCCTAGGACGCTCTTTTCATAGTTGTGCGCCACTCTTCACTGTTTCTTGTGCCTATCTGCTTTATAAACAGAGGGGATGATCAAACACATCTCTAAAAACACATGGAAATCTCCTTAGAAAGCTTCCGCATTGGTTTTAGAAAGTAAAAGTGCCTGCTACATTTTACAGTTGAGACCCCTACACGCTAGAAACTCTCCACTCACAGGGAAGATGCTTTAGAGCAAGTCTCTTGTTCGCCCCCAGGCCCCGCCCAGAGTGCTCCACTGAGTTTGGGGTGCACCATGAGACTGCACTGAACATTATTCCAGAAACTGTCATCTTAGGGTGCCAACCTGGGAGTACTGGGAATGGTATGACTGCCAAGCTGACTCTACCTAGCATACAGGGAAGCAGCTTGTACTCTCTGGGCAGGTGTGTAGCGGAAGGCCAGTCCACACTGAAGGTGACAGTGAGACTCAGCCCTAGCCAGACAGAGCCAGGTTCTCCAGCCCAAGAAGGATCCCAAGAGAATTCACAGATTTGAACAGGGAAGGCTCAAAGTGCTGGGAATGGTGATGAGAAACAGACTTCAAACTACCATTGTTTTTCTTACTTTTTACTCCTTCATTGTTACCTTTATATCTGGATCTCTTGTTCTTATTAAGTATCATTTGTGGGAGGTTAAAATTCTAAAATGTTTTCTAAAATCTCTGAGATTCTGTTCACTCTAAAGAACTACAGGATTATTTGGTCAACTTTTTATATAATGTTTCAATAGAGATAAGCTTAAATAATTCTGTCCTTCATATTAATAAAATCCTAATCTTTAAACTTGAAACTAAAATATAAATATTTTTATTATAGAAACTCTTGATTTAACAAAATTTCAAATTTCTCTAGTAAATATTTGAATTACAAGCAATTTTTTAGGAATGACTCTTTATCTTCATATTTCAGTGTACACTCAGAAATAATGCTGTTGGATAATTTGTATTACTCATTATCTGAACAATAATTATGGGATCATTTGTGATATTGTGAGTACAATAAAGTTCACAGCTTAAAAAAAAAGACCAATAAGGAGCAGAGAGGGAGGAGCTACACTTAAAATGGAACTTCCCTCAAAGCATAGGACCAAGGCTAAACTATTCCAAAGACACTGGGAAATATTCACTGGGTCACACCAGCCTCAATGTCTGAAAAGCACCTGTGATTTAGGATTCCCTGGGTAGGTTAGACTTGCAAGTAAGGGCAAATAGGTGAATTATCTAGTCAAGCCTTGTTACTCTCCTAGAACACTGCCCTCAATCAAGTACAGCCTTGCTGGCAATGTCACCAATAACCAGATTATATGAGCTTTCTGTAGATTTCAACCACCTCTGCTCCGAGTTACTTCTTTTGCACTAAAATCGCTCAGGCTCCAAACTCCCTTAGATGTTTCAGCCATCCTAATCTGCTCCTTCTCCTGCCATTGACTCCAAGATCCAGCCAGGTCTCCTTTCCTCTGGCCACATCCTGCAACTGCCACAGCTCTCCCAGGGCCACTCAGGAGCCTCATTAGGCTGCTCCCCGTGGACCATTCCAACACCAACCAGACTTCCTTGGGGCATCAGCAACTCTGGGCCCATTTAACCCCTAAATCAGAAAAGTCTATAAGCCCTCTCTACACCTCTCCAACCACTACACACCCACCCCCTTTCCCTACTTCTCTTAATACCATTATCACCCTTGGTCTCTTCTAACTGACCCTTTCCCCTGCCTCTCTGGCTTTTCCACTCAGCTCCTGAAATCCTTTTACAGCTTCACAGTCACTACCTTGGTCCAGACTTTCAACTGCCTTTATCCCAGAATACTGCAAAGGCTTCTTCCTAAATATTGTGACCATCTCCTATTGTCACCATAATGCTTCAAGCCAACCCACAGCTGCTGCATCTGCTGATTTTAACACAGGATGCCTCTACTCTCCTATCAAAGCCCGCAGGTGCCACAACCTGCTGTCTAGCATCACGCTCTCTCCTTATTTCCCTGGTGACATCTCTCCTAGGCTAAGGTTAGAGCAGCTTCCCCTGATCTCCTTACCATATCTCAACAGGATGCTACTGCAAAGCAAACTCCCTGGGGACTGCTCCTGCCTCTGACTTCCAACTATCAGACCTGTCTACATCCTTAAAATGATCACATGAACACAGTGGTAGTGATGGCACAACCTCAAAATTACACTAAAAACCACCGAATTGCACACTTTCAAAGTGTGACTTCTGCTAAATGAATAATAACTCAGTAATAATAGTAGTAACCATGCTTACAAGAAAGCTGCTTCTGCTGGAAGTTTGCCTTGTCCCCAACACACATCTTGGGAACATGGAGTCAGTTGTTTTCCACCTTGGCTGCTTAGAAGAACCACCTGGAGAGTCCTTAATATCCCTGTGCCCAGGCAACAGCCAAAACCTATTCAATAGGTAAAGCAAGGTGAGAACTAGGCTGCAGTGTCTTTTAAAGTTCCTGAGGCACTGCAAATATGTAGGCAAGTTTCAGAACCAGGTTTCTGGCCCATGAGGGTACTAACTGTGCCTTGCCTCAAATCCCTCTTACCATCAATGACATCCCCTGGTGGACTGCAGACCACTCCAGGATCAGAAATTGTTCATTTCATCTTTTTTTGTCCCTGAAAATGCTTTTATAAAAATGAACTCTACCTATCCTTCCTAAATATTCCCTAAAGCTGTCATCTATACTTTTTCTGTGGGTGGAAAGGCCATTCATGGAGACATAATGGCAAGCTCTAAGACTTACTTTCCTTTTTATTAGCTGTGATAATTTTTTGTTGTTTTTTAGCACAGAAGTGATTGAAAGATTGGGGTTCAGGCTCCTTTCTGAGAGGCTATTTTCATTAGTGAAGATCCCCAAGGTGATGGTGATGCAGAGTGGAAAAGGGAACACAGCTGTCCTGGCAGCTGGTCCCAAGGTCTTTCCTCTCTGTTGTCTACCTCGGGACTGCTTCTGCCTCTGCCTTCCAACTATGGGACCTAATAGGACTCTTAGCTGGGGCAGCTCAAACAATCAGTCTTATTCTGCTTATTCTCCCCACACACTTATCACCTAATAGTTACATGCTAGGTTTGCAGTCATTTACATATGACTGCAAGGAAAGAAGCCCTGCAGGTCTTGGGCTTAGGATTTGGGGGCTCTGACAGGACCTAGGCCTGGCTGCTCCTTCCTTACCAAGACTCTCAGGTAGTCTTCTTTGCAAAGCTCTTCTGCACCTCCCCTTCCCAAGCGACCTTCTTTCTGTCATTAAACCCCCCCCCCCCCCACACACACACACACACTCTCTCTCTCCCCTTAGGATCCCTGGACTCACAAGAATACATGCAACTTTCTCTGTGCTGATCTTGGGTCCCACTGCTCATTCCCGGAAAAGAAAATGAATCCACTCAGCTCTGACTCAAAAAATCCAGGGCAGTGTCTTGAACATGATTTTAGTATGAGTCACACACCACCCCCACTTTGGCTCAAAGAAAGGAAAAACCTGCTGGGTGGCATAAAAGCAGATTGAAGTGCTTCTCTGACTGCTGGGCAGCCTCTCCTGCAGGCTGTGAAAATGAAGACCCCTTGGCTGGTGGACACCCGGGTCTGGGTCCAAAAGGGATGTAGAGTCTGACAAGCTTCATATAGCATAGGCCTGGATTGTAGCAGATGGGACCAAAAAGCTTCTCCCTTCCCCTCCTAGTGGCGCCCCCCCCCCATGGGTTGTAGGATTAGAAAACACTACCTAGGGCTTAGTTTCTGGCTGTGAATGGAATTCCCGCCACTGGGTGGTACTGATTGAAATCCCAAGATTCCAAGAAAAACAATGACTACTTCCAAGAAAAATCCTCTGAATATTCCCACCCATCAGTGAGGACCTTAAATCCTACTGATCTCCAGGGATGCCTGAAGTGCCTTTCACTAAACTCATCCAGGAACAGAGGGCTCAGACAGGGCTCAGACAGGCCTCAGTGCTTACAACAACCTGGTGAGGAGCCCTGCCTTGGCCTGTCCCAAGGTGTTGGCAACTAGTCCCTTGCGTTGGTAACTTCAAAAAATGAGATGAAATGGAACAGAGAAGAGTGGAGAAAAGAAGGTCCTAAAAAGAAAAGTTGAAATGCTGAAAAAAAGGAGAGAGGAAGAAAGGTGAAGAGAGGGGAGAATTATTTAAAAAGCAAGAAAAACAGGAAGACGAAAGAGATGCAGAGATTGGG